AATATTCTCATTTGGATCAACTCGACTCTTTATGACTCTCTGATTCCGTATACAGTTGGTGTTAATTCTTCTCGAGAGCTCTGGTTCAAGCTTGAATCGCGACTTGCTACAACTTCACAGTCTCATGTTCATGAACTTCGTTCACATCTTCACACAATCACCAAGGGTGATTATACTGCAGCTACATATCAAATTGAGGAAATCTCTGATGCTCTCACCAGTGCTGACATTCCAATTAAAGAACCTGAGCTTCTCTCTATCATTCTTCATGGACTTCCTTCTGATTATGACTCATTTGTTGATGTAATCCAGTTTTATCTTGGATCTACAACCATTGATGAACTGCATGGTTTACTACTGAGCAAAGAAATTCAGCTTGCAAATCGTAAGAAATCAACCGCCTCAGGATCTTTTCAAGAGTTTAATTTGTCTCTTGGATCTTCTGCTGGAATTCTTCCCCTACCTCCTTAAAACCCTAATTCTCAGGCGTTTCTTGCTCATAATTTCCCCAATTTCAATCAGCATCACGGTCGTGGTCAAGATTGTAATTTCAATCGAAATTTCTCAAACCCTAGGTCTAACAATCAACGTCAACATTACTCCAACAATTATTAGAGAAACAATCAGAGGAACAATTATTCGAGGAACAATCGTGGTGGTCGATTTGGTTCAACCTTCTCTGGACGCAGACTCACTTGCCAAATTTGTCGCCAAAATGTCATGAGGCTGTTGAGTGTCCTCATCGCATGAATCCTCATTTTGGCTCAAAGACTTCTCAATCCGCAATGTGTGCCAACGCTGCATCATCATCTGCTACTTCAACTTGGCTTCTTGTCTTTGGTGCAAGCTCTCATATGACTAATTCCGTTGCAAACTTGTAGAGTTCAGAACCTTACACTGGCTCTGAGCAAGTCTACATTAGTGATGGCAAAGGTTTGCCTATTCTTAGTTCTGGTTCTTCTACACTTTCTACTACTTACCATGACTTTACTCTTCGAAATGTCTTACATGTTCCTGGTTTAAAACAAGATTTGTTATCTGCTAATCAATTTACAATTGATAACTGGTGCTCAATTACTCTATATCCTTTTCACTTTATTATGAAAAATCTTTCTTCGGGGAGGATGCTTTTTAAAGCCCTGTGAGGAATGGTTTTTACCCTTTCACTGCCTCTAGTCCAACTGTTGGTAATCATCTTCTCTTGGCCGCAACAGTCAAAGCTTATTCTCAAATATGGCATCAAAGGTTAGGCCATCCATCTTTCAAACTCTTAAATAAAAAAGTCTCTAAGTCTAGTCTTCTAGTTTCATCTAGCATGACTAAGTATTTTTGTTCCAATTGTGCAATGGGCAAAAATACCAAACTTCCTTTTGTATCTAGTTCTAATACTACAACTCAACCTCTGCAACTTCTACATACAGATGTATGGGGGCCTTCATCTGTTATGTCTGTCTGAGGTTATAGATATTACCTCTTAGTTGTTGATGATTACACAAAGTACTGCTGGTTTTTTCTTCTCAAGTGTAAATTTGAGGTTTTTCAAACCTTTATTGAATTCAAAGCATTGGTTGAGAATATGTTGCATACTTCTATTGTTGTCTTGAGATCGGATTCTGGTGGAGAATTTTTAAGTTCTAGTTTTACTCAGTTTCTTAAGACTAATAGTATTCATCACCAACTAAGTTTCCCTCACACACCAGAGCAAAATGGTTGTGCTAAGCACAAACATCGACATTTGGTTCAGATTGCTCGCACTCTCCTCATTGCATCTAATGTTCCTTACATTTATTGGGTTAAAGCCTTTTCAACAGCAGTGTATCTCATTAACCGACTGCCTACTATGACCAGATCTTCTCTTTGGGAACAGTTATTCCACAAACCTCTATCATATGCCACTCTCAAAGTGTTTGGTTGCCGATGTTTTCCCTGGCTAAAACCTTATACAACATCCAAATTAGAACCTAGAAGCAAACCTTGTGTCTTTCTCGGTTATAGCTTGAACCATAAAGGATATAGATGTCTTGGTTTTTTTAACCAGGCGAGTTTATATATCTCGCCATGTTATCTTTGATGAATCTCATTTCCCATTTCATCACATTCCTGCCATCTCTTCCCCATATAATTCCCCAACCTCCTCACCCTCTTCAATCCCATCTACCTTAGTGTTTCTTATTCTAGGTGCTTCCCCAACATCACCATTTCATTTCACTTCATCTCTTTCTGCACTTATATTACAACCTGCCAGTTCTTCTAATTTTGCAAATGTCCTGTCTTCTGCATCTATATTACAACCTGCCAGTTCATCTAGTCCTGCACCCTCTGTCTTTCCCACAAACACTCATGCTATGCAAACTCGATCTAAGTTTGGTATATTCAAACCCAAAGCCTATGCAGTCACTAAACATCAATTCCATTCTTATCTCACTGAGGATTTCTTACCTACTACTTACTTACAGGCTTCAAAACACTCTCATTGGAGACAGGCTATGTAAGAGGAATATAATGCTCTTCTCTCTACTGGCACTTGGTCTCTTGTTCATTCCCATCCTTCACAGAATCTTGTGGGCTACAAATGGATCTTTCGAATCAAAAGGAAAACTAATGGCACTATAGACAAGTATAAAGCTAGGCTGGTTGCTAAAGGCTTTCACCAGCAAGCAGGATTAGATTACACTGATACATTCAGTCCTGTTGCCAAGCCTGTTACAATTAGGCTTCTTCTTACTTTAGATGTCCAAAATAATTGGTTTCTTGACCAATTAGATGTCAGTAATGCTTTTCTCCATGGCTCTCTGTCTAAAAATGTATTCATGCAACAACCATATGGTTTTCAGGATCCTACTAGGCTTACACATGTTTGTCATCTTCATAAGTCACTTTATGGTTTGAAACAAGCTGCCCGAGCTTGGTATGAAAAGCTGCAAGGTGCACTTTCCTCTATGAGTTTCATTGGTTCTCAGAATGATCATTCCTTGTTTGTTAAGAATGCTCATACCTTGGTGTTTGTTTTAGTCTATGTAGATGACATCCTGGTTACATGACCATTTTCTCAGGTATGCAAGGACACTATTGCTCAACTCAGTGCCTTATTCCCTATCAAAGATCTTGGTCCATTATACTTCTTTCTTGGCATCGAAGTAAAAGGGTCATCCTCTGGCATTCTGATCTCTCAGTCAAAGTATATTATGGAATTACTCAAGAAAGCTAAACTGGATGGAGAAAAGCCTTGTCCCACACCTTTGAGCACTTCAACATTGGATCACACTTCTCCTCTGTTATCTAATCCAGAAGAATATAGGTCTCTTGTGGGTGGTTTACAATACTTAACCTGGACACGACACGATCTGTCTTTTACAGTTAATCTTGTCTGTCAATATATGCACAGTCCCAGAGAATCTTATCTTCAAGCTGTAAAACGAATTCTGAGATATCTTAAGGGCTCTCTTGATTTGGGGTTATGGTTCTCTAAATGTTCTACACCTCTCAGTATTAGTGCATTCTTTGATGCCGATTGGGCTTGCTGTGCTTTAGACAGAAGATCAACTGGTGGATATTGCATCTTTCTGGGCAATTCTCTCCTTAGCTGGAGTGCAAAAAAACAACCAACAGTGGCTTGATCATCCACTAAAGCTGAGTACAGATCCTTAGCCAATACGGCAGCTGAAATCACCTGGTTGTGTAAACTTTTAGTTGATGTTCACTTGGTTCTTCCCTGTTCTCCCAAACTGTGGTGTGATAATATTTCTGCTTTGTCTTTAGCTAAAAATTCTATATTCCATGCTAGGACTAAGCATGTTGAAATAGATTATCATTATATTAGAGAAAAAGTGCTTTGCCGTGCTATTTTAGTTCATTTCATCTGTTTTCAAGACCAAGTTGCAGATATACGTACAAAGTCCTTGCCCAAGCCCAAATTTTTGCTTCTCAAAACCAAACTCTCTCTTCGGTTCCCTCAGCTCGGTTTGAAGGGGGATATTAAGGACCATAGTGTAAAAGATAGGACATAGAAGTATTAGCTTGTAAATATTTCTACAGTCTGTTAGAGTCTACTGTTAGTATTATTTGGACAGGTAGGATTAGTTATTAGTGAGCTGTCAATCATCTGTGTGGTGATGTAAATGTATAAATACTAAATGTTGTAATCTTATTCATTCAATAAATGAAAAGATAATTTTCCTATCACTAATTTTTTGTTATATGTATGTTTTAGCATATGCCAACCTTAATTATGATGAGCAGCTGAATTTTTTGTTTTTTTTTTCTCATGGTGCACTTAAATTTGTAGATCATCATTGTATCTTATTAAATGCATTTGAAACTGAAGAACTTATTCAATTTTTTTAGCGATTCAGAAATTGCTCTCTCATTCGCTAAAACTGTCATTTATTTACATTACCAACTTTTTTTTATTCATATTGTAAGAGAGAAGCATATATATCAAAAAATGAAGAAGAAAGCTCTGAAGTGACAATCAAGGAAGTTCAAAAGTGCTTATTAGTATATATGTGTAAATAAGGTTGTAAACATAGTTGTACATATTTGTGTAAATAGCGTTGTAAACATTTTTGTAAATGTATAAATTGGATTGTAAACCCCGATGTTGAACACATAATATAGTTGTACACATATATAGAATTTTTTGCATGTTTTATACACTTCTAAAACCCGCATTAATATGACATATGAGAAAATGTATTAAATTTTTTTAATTATTGTATTGTATGGATTCTATTAATGCATCAATTGTAAATCTTGAAAATTTATTTTAATTGATTTCCTTTTGAAAATGGGTCAATACAAATATCATTTTTGTTTTTAAAACAATACGTATATCATTTATAATAAAAGAAACATATGGATTGGAGAAAGAGAAAGTCTCACATTGCCATGTCAACTAATAAACTAACATTTGAGATTTATTTTTTGACGTCTTTACTGGAGATGATCTAATATGCCAATTTTCGAAGAAATTTATACTTGACCAAAATTGGATAAATTTCATAGGGGCTCATACAATACCTAAAACAAAATATATACCAGTAACTGTTTCTCGGTAAGTGAGAAGGAATCGGTTGCGCTCGAGCTCCACCATTGTAGCGTGGTGCCTTCTTCTTCAATTGCGCTCAGGTCTGTAATTTTAGGATTAGGGTTAGGGTTTCGCATAAAATAATCCAGGCACAAAATCTGCGAAGCTGGAGAGGCACGGAGACCACCTGGAGTCCCAGCGCGTCTCGCAGCCTGGGACTTTCTCTTCCTCTTCGCCTTGGCCCTCCGTCGATGCTCACCACAACAACCATCTTATCCACCACAATCACCACCAGGATTCCAACCACTACGACCACCACCACCATGGCAACCATTCTAATGGCCCCTTCCATCCGGTGCCTTTTTCTGTACGCAGAAGGGCTTGGTCTCAGCATAATCAAGGACTCTCTCCAGGTTTGTATATCAATTCTATATCAATTTCTTTTACATACATTTGTATTTGCCTTAATTCTCTGTTTGGTAGGTTAGAAAATGCAGGAAAATAGTCGAACCGAAACAATGTATTGGTGGAGGCTGACAATAAGTTAAGCTAGTGACCAATTTTGCACTGATCAAAATGAATATGAACAAAAGTTACTATATTACATACATTTGCATTTTCCTTACTGCTCCGTTTGGTAGGCAACAAAATGCAGGAAAATGGTCGAACCCAAACATTGTATTGGTGGAGTTTGACAGTAAGTTAAGCTGGTGACCAATTTTCCACTAATCAAAATGAATACAAAAGTTACTAATTATTACATACATTTGTATTTTCCTTAATGCTCTGTTTGGTAGGTAAGAAAATGCAGGAAAATAGTCGAATCGAAACAATCTATCAGTCGAGGCTGACAATAATACTGCCATACATTGCTAATGTTACTCACTTTTGCTGTTTATCATCTAGGGAAAGTTTTTATCTATGTTTAGCAGAATCCTTTTAAAACTCATGGAAACCGCATTGGTGTTTTAGTTTCAAGTTTATTTATTGTATCCCCTCCAAAGCTATTTTTGTTGTAATACCGCTGTTTCTCTCATTTGGTAGTTTTTGTCTTTCAGATAACATTGAAAGCGCCCTACATGTTAAACTTTATGTTGCACAGGTTTCCCGAATAGCGACAGAGGAACTTGTAAGTAATAGGTCCCCTTGAGCTGTCAAAATGTCTTTAGTATTCGTTTTGCTACACAATCTACCAAAAATGGCTGTGCCCTTGAGCTGTCAAAATTTCTTTAGTATTCGTTTTGCTACACAACCTACCAAAAATGGCTGTGTTTTAGTGTGTTTTCTCTTTCAAATTCATGCATTGGTCTTGTAACCGTTAATTCTATAAAATGACATTTTTTTTCCTCCTTCTAAATGTTAGATTCGCCCCTTGTTTGAGCAATTTGGAAGCGTTATTGAGGTTGTGATTTTGCGGATAAGAGGACTGGCCACCAACAAGGTACCTCAATCGTTATGGGGTGGGGTGGGGTGGGGTGGGTGAAGGATAGAATCTTGGTCCAATTCCCCTTGTTAGCAGTGTTTAAAATATCAATATAGGTGGAAATATCGATATGTAAATTTATGGAAATATCGATACTAATATTAATATCGGTTGCCTTTGACAGAAATTATGGTAATTGGCAATGAGGTGGGTATATCAATTCATTTAGATTTAGTCAAAATTAGAGAAAAAAATTCAAAAGTTCGAAATCTGCAATGGGTTTCGGCAAATTTTTTGTAGTGAATTGGTAAATATCATCGATATTCATTGATTTTCTTTTATCTCGCCGATATAGGGTGAAGTTTGCATTCCACCCCCTTTCCATACCAATCCCTGATTTTTTGGATATTGACGGAAATATCGACAATTTCGTGGATATATTAAACACTGCTTGTTAGTGCAAGCAACGAAATGATGTTTCTGTTTCTCTGTCTTCGGAGGGGCTGATAAGAGCACCCATTTGCTCATGTTTCCCCTATAACCAAGAAAAAATATTATTTCCAAAATTCTTCAATAGTGATGGTTGCTGTGTTTGGGGTAGTCAAGTTTAAAAAAATGAACATTTTTTTGCTACCACCATTTGTGTTTGGGTGTTTGTATTTCCACAACTATGAAAGTAAGCAAACAGATTTAGGTTGCTCCTGCAGGAACTTGTTTTGTGAAATTTGCAACACAACATGAAGCAGACAGGGCCATTACAGCTTTAAATAATCAGCACTATTTTCCTGGGGTGAGTTTAGTTGCTGCTGGATGAACAAAATAGATGTCTATTGATGTCATTCATCATGTTATTAAGTTTCCTGTTTGTCATAATTTCTTTGTCCAGGAAGCCTTCCCGATGACAGTTAAATATGCCGATGGGGAATTGGAACGCCTTGGTAATTTTCTATTGTTTAAGGAATTATTATGGAACCATTTTATGGATTGTAAACCAGCAACTCAGTATCCTACGAATTGTTAGATCTGTGTTCTTAATCTGTAAGAGTTTCTAGAGTAACTGCGATACAAATTTTTTTATTAGTTCCATTCACTAATAAGCATGCCCAAATTCATAAATAAAAAATGAAATAATTTTTTCAAATTTATGCCATAACTTTGGCTTTGCACCTCTGTTTTGCACACACTTTGTGTTTCTAAAAATTTGGTTGATATGCATCAAACAAGCTATACTGAACATCAAAGTTATGTGGAAAAAAAAAATACTGATTTGATATGTGTCAAACAGGATCCATAATGAATATAAAACTGGGTGGATTTTTATCCTATTAAGAACTTGTGAGACATATACAGTATTGAAATAATGCAATTTGCTTTTTTTCTTCATTATCACATTCTTGTCTCATAGATACATCATTTTGATGCAAAATAATTTGATAATTATCTGTTTTATGGGCATTCTGGTTCAATTTACTTAATTTCATATTCATCAAGGGTCTTGTTAGATACAGATGGACCACTGTGTTTTAAGAGCATAAGCGTATGTGAACCGTACGTACAGAATGAAAGCTATGTTATTTTCACTTTGCTTTGAGAAAATATAGTAGTTACCAGAATGAATTTTTTGATATTTAAAAGGGCACGAACATAATTTAAAAGAAATATTAATGTAAACCATAGATTTTGGTTGATGAAACAGTAAATGAGAGACCTATTAAAAAAGGAGAAGCATTGGACCGCTGCCAAAAGAAATGGTTGTGGCTCTAATTTTCTGTTTACTTTTTTATTACTTGAGGTTCCACAATAAATTATGCTTACATGCTATTCGATTGTTTGAAATTTTGCTTCTGTATAACTCGAGGGTTATAATTAATTATTTAGATAAAATGCTAAAGAGAAAATTAAATGTATGGAAAGTCCCAGTGACATTTCGAGTAGATAGATATGAATATTAAGATATGCTCCAAAATTTTGTTATTCTGACCCCTCATTTGATATAGATTGAATGAATGAACTTTTCTTGAAATTTAGAGGTTTCATTATTGATTATGATTGCTGAACTTGGGAAAGATTTAGTTGTTTTTTCGTTAACATGAAAGTCTGGGATCTTGTCAAGTTAAAATCCACCACCCTTTTAAATAAAAAATAATCAAGATCGGTGTATTTATTTGGTTATAAATGAAAAGGAATGCAATAGTTTCCATTGTGCTTGAGAAGGCATGAATTCCAATTTGAAGTTTGGTGACCCCAGATGTGGTTATGACTTATAGTATATTTTGTAGGAGAGGAAATACTTTCTTTATCCTTGTTTATGTGTGGCTAGAGAATGATAGAGTATCTTCTAAAGTGCGTTTGAATTTTAATAATGATGATAGAATGTGCATTATGTGTTTGCAATTTACGGATTTAGGTTGCGTTTTGGATTGTTTTTCTCTGTGATGAACGCGCTTCCAGATCAATCTGCAGGCCATATTAGGATGTTAATAGAACCTTTTAGTGCCTTTAACAAAAGTTGCGGAGTAAAACACTCTGTATGAAACACTCCTATTTGGGCCCTTTATAATCTTCAGCTTCTGATGACTTTTTCTTTTCTTGTCCTCTTGGTAGAGACACTTGGTAAAGTGTATGTTAATGGCCTTAACAAGGAAGCTTCGTGGAAAGAAGTTGAGGATGTAAGGTCTATGTTTGTTGAAATTTATTTATCCCATTCCACCTAAATAATTCCTTCATGTAATATCAGTACAACCAATATATATGTTAATATGTATCATGCATGTGTGCACATATCCTTTTTTATTTTTTATGTTTTATGCATGTACATCTTTTCCTGTAGATATACTTGATTATTATGCACTCATGCATACTACTTGCAGTGAAAGAACAATGTTTTCCAAACCCATTTTTGGTTATATACTCCCTCAACTATTTTCAAGATGATCATTATATGGTGTTGTGTATGTCAGATATTTTCACCATACGGTCTTGTTTTAGATGTCTACATTTTGCGTGATGAGCTGAGGCAGAGTCGAGGTATGTCCTTTGTATTTCTCTATTCTTTGTAACTTGAGTCACATGTAGATTGAACATATCTTACATTGTAGGCGCTGATTATGCTTGGCTCAAAAACCGAAAGATGTCCTGGGTTCTGTTTGACATCACAATAAGTGAAGCCATTCTGATTTGTATGCTTGTTAATTTACTTAAAAGGGCACAACTGTGTTTTTTTTGCTTGTTAATTTACTTAAAAGGGGGGGAGGGGTACTGGTTTGTATGCTTGTTAGTTTACTTCAAAAGAAGGAACCGATTTGTATGCTTGTTAATTTTCTTAAAAGGGTGGAATTAGTTAGTGGGCTCTATAGCCAATAGCATCACCGACAACACATCAATTGGGATGTATACAAATTTCAAACATTGTTCCCATTTACATTGTAATAATGGTGAACTAGTCTCGTTCTTTGATTTAGTCATTGCATATTTTGTAAAATCATTGAAATATTTTTATGGAAGCACTATTGCTGATAACCTGTTTCTGTCTCCTTGATGTGGTTAATGTTATTTTTATTTTTATTTTTTGTTAGGGTGTGGATTTGTAAAGTTTTCCCAGATAGATATGGCTCTGGCAGCAATCAAAGCATTAAATGGAACCTTCATTATGAGAGTAAAGCTTTTCTATTTCTTACTAGCATTTATCAGTAGTCTGATAAAACTTGGTAGGCATCAACTAGTTTGATTCTTCTTTTCTATGTTACTTCAGGGTTGTGCTCAGCCGCTTCTTGTTCGTTTTGCGGATCCTAAGAAACCAAAGGGAATAGATTCAAGGTTGTAGTCTTCTGTAATTTTCTTTGACTTGTCTGCATATGCAGGGAGATTTTAAATAGAGATCTCTCATTTTAAGGAAAAAGGGATGCATGTGGGGCCCATCTCCCAATGATTCAAGCGATCCATTTTGTAGATTCCATTGTAGGATGACCTTACAAAAAAATTGGCCAAACCAATAACCCCTTTGTTGATATGACCATGATTAAATAAATATATTTAGCATAGTGTTTTGCTAAAATGTTCATATGATGATGGTAATAATTCAAATGGCTAAGCAAAGAGATGATCCTTGAAGGGAACCCTTTTGTAGATTCCATTGTAGGATGACCTTACAAAAAAATTGGCCAAACCAATAACCCCTTTGTTGATATGACCATGATTAAATAAATATATTTAGCATAGTGTTTTGCGAAAATGTTCATATGATGATGGTAATAATTCAAATGGCTAAGCAAAGAGATGATCCTTGAAGGGAACCCTAACAGATGGACAGTTTGGGTGATTGGACCAAATTGCTGGAGTAACAAACCCCCCCACCCCACCAAACACACACACACACACAGAGTATATATATGCATACATGTTCTCTTTCCTGACCTGTGTTCCCAGACTGGTTCTTGACCACACTTTTTGGCAAAAAATAATCTGATGGATGGATAAGGTTTACACACACATGTATGGGTATAATTTTATAAACAGTCACCCAAAGCCACAAGCAACTTTCTAGATTTGGTTAAAGTAAACAGAAATGCTGGCTGACAAAGAGGTGTATGTTGATGTATACAGTACTGGATGACTGATTATGTACTGGTTTGATATTGAGTAGTTAATCCCAGACGCAATTTTCTAAACATTCTTTTTCTCTAGGGGAAATTTTGGATTTAGCAGCGGGAACATTGGACCCCACTCTCAAGAACCATTTAGGTATGCATCTGTCTTTGTGCATCTTACCCCCTTTTTTTTCATTTTGTTTAGTACCATGCTTGAGTTTTCGTTTTCTGCTTTACTTGGTGCAGGCTAGTATCTGATCATGGTGATCCCATGGGAGGGCATAATTTTCATAGTGCACCGTATCCTGTTCAGCAAACTTCAAACCCACCTATTCCCCAATTGGCAAACCCAGAACCCCTAGCTTCCATTGTCATGCCACCACCACAGTTGTGTAGGATGCCTTTACAACAGACACAGAATACACAGAGATCTTCTCAGACTTCTCAAGTAGAAGCTAATGAGACCCAGAAGCAGCATCTGACACAGCCATCTGGGCAAATTATTGGGCAGCAGCAAAGTTCTCAGGTTAGTACGCAACAATGATAAATTGATTGGAATGCGAAGTTTATCAGTGATTGAACAGGTCAGCGTTTGTAAAGGATAATTTCATGAGCATTGTTTCACAAAAATGTCATGTGGCCGTTGCTTGTGACACCCTGTGTATTCATTGAATTGTTTGCTTAGACACTCCACAACTACAAGAATCACGTCTATCTTGTTAAAGGTTTAATTAGCATGCATGTGCAAGGGAGTAATCTCATTTCTTTTGGTAAATAAAAGTCAAGTAGGAGGTTTTTAGTTGTTTTTTATTGATTTGGATGAATGGTTTTTAGTCATTCCTGGAGCTTTTTATTGGCGGATACAAACTTTGTGTGAATGTATGTTCAGTTGTTCTGTGGGGTTTATTCTATGATACAAGATTGGCAGGGCACACACTAACAATGATTTTGTGACTTTGTGCAAATTCGTTTCTGCCATGCTGTAATATTGGGAACTGTGCAACTATGTTGGTTTTTTTATGGCTTCAATTATCTCCACAAACTGGATGCAATCCTCAGACAGTTGCTAGCAATTCTACCTCACCTGCATTGGCTTCAAGTCATGAAACTGCAGTTCCTCTAGAGTGTGACTGGAGTGAACATACCTGCCCTGATGGATACAAGTATTACTACAATTGTGAAACTTGTGAAAGCATAGTATGTTTCAGTCCTTGACCATCTTCATCATGTCTTTTAGGTTTCTTAGTACCAGAAGATATGGTTAATGTCTTATAAAAAAGAATAGGGATCATACGATTAATGTATGTGCTATCTGGTCTGCAGTGGGACAAGCCTGAGGAGTTTGCTTTGTTTGAGAAACAATTACAGACGCAGACAGAGACACAGCCGCAAAATTCCTCTCACCATCTTCAATCTACATCGGTTCTTTCTATACAACAAAGTGATCAAGCACAGGTAGAGATTCAGACACATGCCTTCCATCAGACACTCCAACTTCAGAAACCTTCCTTGTCTTCAACGGTTTGTATTCATTTTCACGTAACTGATTTTTGAGATGTTGGTTTCTCCATTGTAGTGTAAATTGAGTGTCTTGTCGCCTTAAGCATCATACCTGTACAAATCAGCAGCTAGTATAAGAATTGCCCAAATAGAAATTGTGTCTACCACTATACGCGCTTTGAGTATAAAGCTTCAATTGTGTCTACCACTAGAAGTGCTTTGAGTATAAAACTTCAATCTGATTATGTTTTGAAATGGTTTTGTTTCTACCATGCACTCATTGTGTAAGAATGGAGAATTTCTGTTCAGGAATTCCCAAAGGCCTTTATAGTGTAAATAACGATATAGGCTGATGTGTTATTGATGTTGTGATTTTGCAGGAACTTGATCATTTGCAAATCCAGCCACAAACTAGTCCTCTAGTTGGCCCAACCTGAGTTTGACAGGTATAGATTTTGTACTTAACAATGCCTCGGCTTATAAGTGTCTTTTACGTATCACATTTGAATAAAAAACAATGCAGGAGAAACCAAGGGCTTGCTGTATATTTTCCTTTATGACTCGTCTTCTTTTATAGGGTCTATCTGGGGATATTGCTCCGAAAACTCTGGATTCAGAGAGGTAGACAGGAAAAGAATGGGGTCCCACAGAGTCCTCTAGTTCTGTTCCGGCCCTCCTCCTACTTAGTTCCTGTTCATAAAGTTCAGATCATTCTTCTTGTTTCTTATGCAGAATGGTCAATTTTCTGTTTCTAGAGAAGACAATTGCAAGCCTGTCCGGTCTGAGGGAACCATTAGTTAGCTGTTGGAAGATTTGCAAGATCCTGAAATTTTGTGTTCACTCCCTCCGCCCTCATTTCTTCAATCGTATTTAATCGTTTCTCAGTTTATCTTCATATTTAAGTTGCTTCTGTAGGCAAGAGGAATTCAAGAAGCGTTTGGTTGGTGAACAATAGTGGTGTACGCTTAGGACAGGGGGTCTTCTACCTATTAGACACATGTATAAAAATGTACCCACCCAAGCTTTAAATATGGTGGGTTGTTAGTGTCGTGCAATCGACGCCTTACTTGCCCGGAGATTTGTACCATAGTCCAGTTATTTTACAGATGAACTGAAGTAATTATTCCCAATTAGAAAGTTAATCTTTGGCCCTCACTGCCCCATATGATGTGAACACAACAATTTTGTTATACATCTTTTCGCTGAACTTTTTGAAGATTTTACCCAAACCGATCGTATTTGTTCTTACACATCTTTGCCAAAAAGGAAAAGAAGCAAGGGGTACGAGAGTGGAAACACATTGTCACTAGATGCAAAGCGGATTCTTCACCAACTAGAGAGGAGATATTTGGTGAAATCCCTTGTAGGTGTGTTTTTTAGGTATATCTAGGTATGTTAAAGGTCATATTACGGAGGACTCGTTAAATCAGTTATAATTTGTTTGATGGTATTTACCATTTGATGTTCTTTATTCTATCAGTAAATGAAGCGAATATGAAGGTGGTGTGACTTTGCTTGTGAATGTATATCATAGCTTATTAATTGATCTGTTCCGTGAAATTAATCTTACTTTATCCCTTAAATTGATTTTGTCTTACTTTATCCTATAAAATTACCATTTTAGTCTCATTTAGTCTATAAGTTCAACCTATATTAGCCTCTTGTGGATTAATGTAAAAGTGTAATTTCTGCCGTTCGTAGATTAAATTAAATTTTGAAACAACCTAGTTTCGAAGGACAAATTATTTAATAAGCCTTTAATCTTTGCAGAGAGAGAGAGAGTCGACATTGACATTTTCCCCACCTATTGTTATTCAAATTCAATGAACCGAATATGTAGGGTGAGATTTGACAGCATAGATTGTCCAACGTAGGGGTGGGGAGAGAGAATTCTTGTAAAATACGCATACGCGTACATAGTTTGGGGCTAGCGCGCATTATAATGTCACAAAATCTTCAAAAATTGCAGCCCTTTTTTCTAGGATAAAGATTTTATGTGAATTCCCATGAGAAAATGTTTTTACTTTACCTCAATAAAATCAATATTCTACTTCAATGAATCTGAACTATAAAAAAATAATTTATATTTGAGTGCACAAAAAAGGGATTTGGATCCTCTCCCCTGAGCTTAAGGAGGGGATCCTTCTGACCAAAACACGTGGACCGTTAGATGAAAATTTAACGATTATAATTATTATAACTTCAAAGGGACCCTCCTGTTTGTAGCCGTTGGATTTTCATCCAACGATCTAAGTGTCTTGGTCAGGAGGATCCTCTCCATAAGCTCAGGAGAGGATCCAAATCCACAAAAAGAGAGCACATTTGTTTAGTTAACGTGGTTATGCTCATGTCTACACTTTTAGTATAATTACATAAAACTTGTTAAATACGAAGTTCTGGAAACAGATTCCTAAAGAGTATAAAAATGGTTATAAAGAGAGAAGTAAGAGGCTCCTACTTAACAGTGGGAGTGGAGACTGTCCAAAACCTAACCCTCAAATCATGACTGCGCGCGGTGCTGTTACTACTAGTACCCAAATGAAATCAATGCACATTCCTTCACCAAGAAAAACAAAGATATAAGGACAAACAAGGGGTCTGAAGAATTAAATATACAACAACCCATTTTTTTTCTCTTTACCATAATCTTTAACTTTACATCCCCCAACCCCACCTCTCTTTCTCCTCTTCCACACCAGAAAATTTTAATTGTGACAGGATACATTATATGTTTTAATAGAAGTGGTAAGAATTTTTATTTTTTAAGTTATTAACTTTTTAGCACATATATCCCATAATTTGTATAGTGACATGTGATGTACAATCCCATGTATCAGTCACATTGAAAAATTTCTCATTCCACACTAGAGATTTTACAGTGTGACTAGCACATAAGATGGTACACCACGTATCACTATACAATTAGTGTGATATGTGTGCTAAAAAGTTAATAACTTAAAAAATAAAATTTTTCACCACTTAACGTAAAAGCACATAGTGTACCACTCGTGTTCCATTCACAATTAAAAATTTCTCCTTCCACACAAAACGAAAACAACGAAAAAAAAAGAGAACAAATATAAAGAAAAAGAGGTTAACTAGCTACTGCCTAGTAGTACCTGCAAAGTCCATGTTCTATCCATATTACAAAACATAATCATCATCTGGATCACCATCTTAACACAGAAAGTCAGTAAGCAAGCTAAATTAGTACATAATTAAGTAGCTCTAATGGGAGGATCTCACTATCTCATGATGATAATATCCATATCTTTATGTCTATATATATATATATATATATATGGGCATACATCTACTGCTCTTGCTTAAGCATATGAGAGGGGACTATGTCTTGAAGAAGGCCATGGTCAGCTAACAAAGCAGAACCGGTTGCCGGAGAGCAAAACCGCCTTTCGGGATGAACAAGGCCGGTGGTAGTACTAGTAGCATTTGTTAGAGACGACGAAGAGCCGTTCACATGATAATTACCAAAATTAAAAGGTGCTGATGAAGGCGGAGAGGAGTTATCTGCAAACGGCTCTACTTGTTGATAGTGATGAGGAAATAGGGTTCTTGTGGGGATTAATGGCATGGCAAAATTATTAGGTGCAAAAGGAGAAGCAGAAGCAACAGAAGAAGCTGAAGTGAGAGTTGGGCGAGGCAAGAGTGGGCTCGGATGAGTGTGTTGGCCTTCATAAGTAGTCACAACAATGCTCGGATCGTCGAAAGATCGCTCCACTCGTTTCTTCACGTTACATGATGCACTTGTGCACCGATAGTAACTCCTACAAAACATATCATCATTTCATCACATCACCAAAATTTAATCATGAAATATATGTAAATGAGATTCTGATCGAAACCCCATTATTAAATTATTCTCCTGGTTTTGATTAATTCAAACCAAAAGTGCAGATGGAAGTGATTAATTTGGCACTGAAGTTTTGGTACCTGGGAAAGGGGCTATTTTTGACAGCTTTCTGGCCGTACTTTCTCCATCTGTAGCCATCTTCCAGATGATCAACTTCGCTCTTTGTCATGAATGCAAATCTGGGCTCTCTCTGCCTCTTCTGACTCGCCTTCTTGGCTTTCAACCTTTTCTCCCAACACAAGAAATTACAAAAGCATTAATATCTCGCTCTTCACCAGGCTTTTGATTAAATTTGACTTTGCCCTTTTACCCAAAAATCCCAAACTTTCAATCTCCAAGAAAACCCATTTCTATCTTGATCTGTAACGAAATGGGTCTCTCTCAAACACAAAACTTTAAGCTAAGAAAAGCAAGAAATTAATTGATTAAAAAGTAAAATAAAAACTCACTCTTTCTTGGTATTTTTTTGCTCATCATGTTCTTCTTCTTCATTATTTTCCTCTTGGTCTGCGGCAGCTTTATGATCAGTATGTTCTTCGTTCACTGCCTCGCTTGATTCCGACGAAACCGACGAAGAGTTTGGTGTTGCAGGCTGCTGATTCAAAGAGGAGTAGTCAGCAGAGAACTGGTCTTTTCCTCCCATTGTGGAAACTAATGAAGGCAGGACTGTAGATGGTGTTTGCGGCAAATAATCAAACAGGGAAGTGGGACAATAGTCCTGTCCAACCCCAGCCCCCAAAAGCTCCATAAACCCTAAAGATGAACTCTTTTCTCCTTCACAGAAATCAAACATGCTTGCAAATGGTGATGTGGAAAATCCGCATCCTCCTCCTCCTCCATTCATATTGTTGTCCTCCCTCTTCACAACATCCTTCTTCACATCCATAGCTCACTCTCAGTACTCAAACTACTATCTATACTTCATCAAATCCTAGAAAGAGAGAAAAACAAAGAGAGAGAGAGAAAAAAAAGTGGGTTTTGTTTGTCTTAGAGAGAGAGAGAGAGAGAGAGAGATATAGAGAGTGAAAGTAGGGTAGGGTTTCATCTGGTTTATAAGATTTTTGAGAGATATAGAGGAGAGAGAGAGCTTTTGGGGGTTAGGGATTTGAGAGTGAGCGTTTTTGGCTGGCCTCAAAGATTGACCGGCAATTGGAGATCATGGGTTTTGTACGGAGAAAGGCAGAGTTTGCAGTGGCAAAAAAATTTGAACGCAATGGTTCCGACAAAACGGTCGACCCTCATACTTAGACCTTTGACCGGTTAACCCGTTTATTTTATTAATTCATGTAATGTGAACGGGGGTTTCGTTGCACGTGACCTTCTTACGGCTACACAGATTACATGCTGTGAACTTCTCTTCTTCTAATCATCTTTTGATTATTTGATAATTTAATTTCGTAATTCTCGTCGACATAATTAAATTTAAATATAGTCAAAGCAAAAACCATATTATAAAAATGGAGGAGATTTAATTAATGGAAAGGTAGTGGCGTTTTGTAATTGGTGCTGCAGGTAAAGTATAAAGATGAGGATATGTTATATCCTCGATGAATTAATAATTAACTAGAATAATACTTATGGGATCGACTTCATTAACCTATATTACTTTATTTGGAGATTATACTGAATTAGACAGTTATTATTTTACAGAAATTCCAACTTATTAAACACTAGCACTATAGCTTGCTATCTTTTATATATGGTAGGCGGACGACGTTTATGACTGATTCAATTTTTTTTTATTTTAAGAAAAAAAGAATTTGTTGGTGGCTGTGTCACGTTTGTTCATGTTTTTTTAGCCTAAAAGATTCACAGACGTCCGTTTTCTCAGGGCTTACTATCTCATATAAATTAGGTCGACGATGTCTTTCATCGGTTCAAAATGTTAAAATTAGGATATATTTAAGTGAGAAATGCTAAAGAGAACATTTTAAAAGTGAGATTCTTTATAGACTCTCTGTTACCTCATATTTTTAGCACAATATTTTATAATATGGCACGGTTGACGTTAAACTGTGAGGTAGCAAAGTGTAATGTCTTCTTAGCATTTCTCTATTTAAGTTGTAATTGTTTAGTCAGGCCATAGACGACTAATAATCACCCAAATTATTTGTACATCTCAGTAAATATTGTGTTTTATCAGAAATAGATATTATGATAATTATAAGTGAAATCCTTCAATATAAGTTGTTATTTATTTTGTAAATTTTAACTGGAATAATTAGGATATAGTTACTATATTCGATGCATCTACGAAACCTAATATAAAATCGATACTCCCTATATCGCATATAAAAACAGTGGACAGGACAAACTTTAGGTGGGGATCAGGTACGACAGTTTTCTCTTTTTTGTATAATTAATCCAATGAATTGGAACATAACCAAATATACGATAAGAGTATCAACTTTTTTTAATTCAGGTGTGAAATCATGTGTTTTTTAAACTAATTGTATAATTATATTATATTCCTTTTATATAGTCGGTGATAAAAACCCTAGCTACTTTTTATCTTGCACCGAATGAAGATCAAAAGATCAGAAAATCCCCACAGAAAAAAGAAAAAGAAAAAGAAAAAAGGGATGCAAATCCCAAAGAAACAATCGTCTTTTTTACTTGTCTTTTCTCTTTTGGTGGTGAAAATTGTGTAATGTCTAGGGCAAACTTCACCCATGGGCGTGTGGGAGTACTACGCACACGAACACACGAGACACACAAAAATTACATGCTGACACAATTCCCGTGTAAATCCGGGACTCACTTTGCTGCCTCTAATTATGTTGTTTCCAACTTTTCTTGGTAAAACAATTATCACTACATATTCTTATAAATATATTTCGGGTAAGGTTTGATACTTTGAACTCATGTATTTTGCAGGTTACTAGCTCTGTTTTATGGATCATTTAACCCGAGAGATGTAACTGTAATATGCCGACTCATTTGACACCGAAACTGCATAACGAAAGAATTTGATCTGTTAGTTTATATTTAAAATAAAATGATCATACCATTTGATTACTTTCGTGTTCTTTTGATTTTATTGAGCGCCATTCATGCATGCCAAATGAAAAAGGAAAAAAAATGATTGAACATCTTAGTCTTGTAGTTATATCATTGTCCTCTACTATACTTTCTTAAGTAAAGGTTGTGGCTGTAGATGCATCGATCCCGATAATACATCTTTTCATACACCGATACACTCAACCATATATGCTTGCTGAGGTCACTAGTGCTTTATGTGAGCTACGTTTTTGCAAGAAACCATCATTGCAATGGCCCTCCTATTATTATTAATTCGTCTTTTTAGTCGAAATAATTTTTGAAATTTGCATAATCATTCATTTTGATTCCTAAGACTTAAAATCAATAAAATTAGTCCATGAGTTTGTCCATAATGAATCATTTTTTGGTCATTTTGTGAAAAATTTCCATAAAATAAGGGTAAAATGACAAAAATATCTTCAATTTTGTCAAATCATTTTGGCTTATTGTTTATTAAATTAAGGGTAATTTTATCATTTTGATCCTTATTTAACATAATTTTTCACCCAAGGACTAAAATGATTGATGGTGGATAATCTTATGAACCACTTATATTGATTTCAAATCTCAAGGACCAAAGTGAGGAGTTATACAAATCTCATGGACCATTTTGACTAAAAAACATATTAATTTTTTGTGTTCGTCTATTACTACCTTCCCTACGCAAGTTTATTGTATGATTTTGTTATAGAGTAAATGTGAAGAAGATTGAATTTATAGACAAAATTTTGTAAACTAAATTATAGGAAAATTGATGATTGAATTATTACTTACTTGTTGACAAACATGTCTATTTTATATTAGTAACATATCATTTAGTTTGCAAATTTTGTTTACAAATTTTGTTTTTCTAGCATTACTCATTGTTATATTGTAGAGCATTGTCCAAACATATTGAATTTTGGAAGGCTCGACTGCTAAATTCATGAGTTTAATATTTCATCTAATTAAGTTTAATATTTCATTGCTCATCTTGCCATTTTCAAATCTCGACTACGTTTGTAATATGAAATAGCACGCAAATATTGAAAGACTCGTCATTTCAATATTTCACTGCTGAAGTTAGTTGTCAATTCAATCTCGAGTACGCATGTAATAAATTAGCACACATATATTGAAAAGCTCAACTACTAAACTCATGAGTTCAATTCATTGCCGTAATTAGTCCATTATGTACGTAACAAAATAGCACATAAATACTGTTAAAACCAACAACAAAAAGAAGAAAAGCAGATGACGGTTTATTGCAACGATAGAAAAAAATACCTATACAGTTTGATGTTGGTTCAATATTAAAACTATAGTTTAACTTTAACCTATTAAAACTAGAGTTTCTGGGAAAAAAATAAAAATAAAGCACTCTATTCGTAAGTAAAAATTGAGGAAATCTATCGTCCTATATTTGAATGAAACAAAGAGAGAAAATAATGAATGTTGTGATCTACATTCTAATACAAATGTGATTGTGCAAATTTAGAAATATGTTTAGGAATCCTTTAAGATCTAGAAGATATTTCCTATTAAATTTTGTATTATTTAGAGAGCAAGTTTCTTTCATTCTTATTGTTATAAATAAAAGCACAAAGTATGAAAAATAACACATAGAATTTCTCAAGCCTATTCTCCATCTCTCTCTTTCTTTTAGTTAAATATAAGCCACAGGGAGAACGTAATTAGCGCTCAAGTTTAATTGGTTTATGTTTTGTAATGGATCTTAACGCGGTTTTGGAATATTTTGGGTTTCTTACATAACACGCTTTCGATATAAATAATATAATGGTAGTAGTCTACCAGAGATGATTGTAAAATAAATAAAATAATATTAGTGTGCAACTGTTTGACTAGTATTGCTTCTTGCGTACGTTTAGGAGCTCAAAAAATGCCAAAACGCAATACTAATTAAATAAAATGATTTTGTTTTGTTGTGAAAGTCTCTTCCGTCCGTTACAAGCCCAAGTTCGGGACTCAGAGCCCAAGGTTTGACCACAGTCGGTCGCAACTCACGAGTCCATGCCTCTCCTATTTAAATCGGTAAACCCTAATCCATTTCTTCTCGGGTTAAATTTATATTTATTGGAGAAATATTACGCTTTTTAATGATATCTCACAATTTAATATTAATTATCATATCAATATTATAAAATATTGTGTAAAAAATATGAGGTAACAAAGAGTTTATAGACAGTCTCACTTTTGAAAGAGTATCTATATCATTTCTTTATTACTAATGTGCAGATAAGTCATTGTCTAAACTATATTTCATAAATTATATGATGTGCCAAGAAAGTAAAAATTTTATAATTGAAAAATTGAAAAAAAGAACCATTAACAACCACTTAATATAGCTTATAAAATATATTTTAAAAAAGATAATCTCTCTAATATTATCTCACCCCTTATCATTGTTCAAGTACGACACGTGAAAATTTCTATTAATATAAGAAATATTAAGGTGATTATCTCAAAGTGAAACTGTATATGAACTCTATAATGAGTTATAAACAAAAGAACTTTCGGAATTACGGAGTTGATATGTTAATAGAGCAACTCTAACATTTAGTAAATGTCATGGGACACATTTGGTTACTTGTGTACTCTTCTTATGTAATTGTGAGATAACACAAAGAGCTCAACATTAGTAATTAATTGGCTAAATATAATTCAAGAGGAGGAGATGGAGATGTGACGACAAGTAAGAAAGTAAACGCTCTACCACTAGACTGTTTGAGACCCTACCCTACCAACGATAACATATGTTGGATGGCCTTTGGTCCATATTGAACCACCAATTAAGCTCTCGATGCCGACCTATTGACAGGGATTTGTAATTAATAAGTTTGGCATAGTGTCTCCCATCTCTATCACATCCACGAAACCTTGTAACAAGAATATTTCCTCTCTCTCTCTCGATCTCGATCGATTCTTATGATATTTCCTTCTTTTTCTTTTTGAAGCATGTTTATTTAACAGAAAAATTAGAGAAGAAAAGAACCGAAGAATTTAGAAATAGAAGAAGTAAGGTAAATTTAAATGAGAAATTCACATTTTTATTTTATGTGACAATAAATGCATGGAAAATTTACATAATAAAATAT